ATCTATCCTCAAGCTCCCATGATGATCGCTAAGTTCCGAAAAGAAGATACACCCGTATCAAATGCACGCTGTATTTGATCAAATATTATAATTATTTATTTTAAGTTTATTTATTTAATATAACATGGTTGTAAAAAACTTTATAATTATTATAATATATTAAAAAATTTAGATATTTCTACGTGTGATTTTAATATTTTATCTTTTAGAGAAATAGTGATGTTTAAAACCTTAAAATATTACAATAATTTAATATTAAATACTAATTTGAATGTATAGTTTCAAAATATTAATGATGTAAGGGACAAATATGGAAAAAAACCTATTATTATTAATAAAAAATAAATTCTTGAGTTCATTAAGGAAAATGGTAGGTTTTATCTAGTCATTAAGGAGTTTATTTAGTTATAAAAAAATCACTTCCACTTGTTATTTACTTCCATATGTTGTTTATCTGGCGATAGAGTATTATACATATTCAAAAAAAATTCTAGAAATTTCTAAGTTCGAATGTGCAAATTCAATCAAGAAAGAAAATATAAATTATGTGATCAATTCCAAAATTTGATGCTGTACTCTTTTTACATCTTCCCAAATACTAATTGATATGTCAAAACGATTACTCTCTAGCTTCAGAAAATTATAAAATATAGTCTGCGAATGATTTGTACATATTATGCACTCATATTGATTGTATTTTAATAAAATAATTCATATCTATCCAATGTCAAGCAACATTCAAAAATTTAGCTTAAGGAGTTAGAAGAATACAATATCTGTAATAATACTCATCTCCAAGCTATGAGCTTCATAAACTTATAAGAATGTGAGCAATATATAATGACAACTTAATTTACTTTGTCAACTAATTTGTTATAAATTATGAAAGACAATGGGAATTAGAACGATCATATACTCATTCCAAATAAATATTAAATTTCTCTTAGATATTCTTATAACAAAAGATTTTTAGAGTTGATGTGTAGGATAAATTTAAGGATATGTAACCCAAACCAATTCATTGATTGATAGAATTGCTATAAACTCCACTCTTATAAAATTAATATCACATGTGCCTTAAGTTGTGCTTTTGTTTAAGAGTTGATTTAAGAAACTCTCCCTCAACTAGGAGGGCATGGCAACAACCCCAACCCCCACTGGCAAAACTATTTAAGACTGAGTAAATCTTCGCTAAGTTTTGTAGATAATCTATCTCAACTTAAAAAAATTGATTTAACCCCAATAAACTTTTCTCACTTAAACCTAACCTCTCAAAACTAACATCATTAAGTCTTATCTATTATGTGACAAGTACTTGACTTGAAAAGACCAAAATATCAATTAATCATAAAAGAATTACCTTGGCTTTTGCTAGATAAAAGAGGTGTTATAAAGAAAAAAATTTTAAATTGGTTGTGATCCTTTTATTGTCGGTTGAGGATTTCTATTTAATTAAAATTACTTTCTTCAAGAGGGTATTTTGTCCAAATCACATATCGAAGTAACTATGTTAATGGGGTTTGTTGATAGAAGTGTAAAATATTAGGGGAGTTTTTATGAGATACGCTATAGTTGAGAGATCGTTTCTAAAATTGCACCAAAATTGAGAGGGGCTATCTATAATACTCCACATAATGAGGGGGTTTAAATTGAATCAGTTGAGTGAGTTTTTTAAGATAATTCCCATAGTTGAGAGGGTTTTTAAGAAATTAATATTTTTTTAAACATGGCTTATTTATAAATTGTCCCTCAAAAATTTAATAATTTAATATTAGTCCCTAAAATTATGAGTAATTTTAAAAATATGTGAGAATAACATAGAATTATTGGATATTTAAAATCAAGGAACTAATATCTAAATAACCTTTACATATTTGCTCTTATAGGTATTCTATTAAATATCGACCAATATATTGCTATATCGGCCAATATATCGGGTTAAAGACTTTATCTTGATAATATTTTTATTTTCTTTTGTTTGTTGATTTTTTGAAAAATCGACCTTTATAAAAAATATAGCCGATATATCCATTTGAAGATATCGATAAAATCATGTTATTTTTTTATTTGATTGTGGGCTGGGGTTTGGATCATGTTTGGGAAATAAAACCGAAACCTGCAAAAATCACAAAGGCCACAATTCTTCTCCCAAATCTCTCCACTCTAGGCTCTCCCAAATCTTAACCATATATCTTGATGCAAATTCTTATGTTTAAAAATTCATTAATATGTTAGATTACATATTACAATGTCATGTTATGTATGAATATTTACTCATATGATACCCAATATTACATACATATCCTTGATTTTTTGCTACCCGATATCATGGAATTTAGTATTTCAATATTTATTTGATGTCTAACACTTTGTAGTAGTCCTTCAAAACCCTATTCTAAAGTTTTCTAAGCGAAGTATATAATTTTAGGAAATAATTCAAAATCTTGAGACTCATTCAAAATAGATGTTTTAATTTTTCCACATCTCCTCTACTATATAAATATAAGCTAAGCATCTGGCCTCATATTGTATGATAAATATTATTTGTCAATGGTATCATATACTATTGTTTATAGATAACAAATGTTTCAAATATTTTCTAGGCTTAACTGAACTTAAATACCTTGTAGTTTACCTAAATTATACTTATATACCTCCACTTGTATATTGCTGTTCTTTTTTTTTAAATTTTAGATAACGTACCTTGATGTGCTTAAATATCCTAATGTTTTCTAAAATTTAATATTTGTATCTTCTATCTTGTTACCTAAACATAATAATACTCTTTGTAATTTTCCTATATGAGTTTTATGATATAATTTTAGGATAATTATATGTTTTCTATTATTTCCATAAATACTTTATTGACATTCAATTATCTATTAATATATTATTATATATTACTAATAATTAGTATGATGTAGAGTTTTATAATAACGTTAGAAATTCTAAGGACCAAATTATGCGAACTTAAAGTGACATATAATGTAATTAATTAACAATGATAATTAATTTAGTTTAGTTAGTATTAGAATGTAATATCAAAAGAGAATAGAGGTAATATAGTCCTTAGAAAGTTTTTTCATAACTCCCTCTTTTAAAGAGAGTATGATATGATATGATATGATATGATATTCTAACTTGTATTTGGTAGCAAAAGAAATACCGTAAAGTTTTTTAAATTACACTTATATATTCTTTTTTTTGGCGGTACCTAAATACCTTAAAGTTTTCACAACTAGCACTTACATACCTAATGTTCTAATCTAGCACTTAGGTAGGTACCTTAATTTTTTTTTTAAAAACTTGCACTCAAATGCCCCTTAAGTTTGCATAACTAATGGTATGTAAGTGCTAGTTGTAAAAACTTTAGGGTAAAGTCTTTACAACTAGCACTTAGATACAAAGTTTTCAAAACTTACACATAAATACTTAAAGTTTTTAAAACTTGCACATGAATACCCTCAGTTATCCAAACTTGAGAGTTTTTAAGTGTAAGTTTCAAAAAATTAGGGTACTTAATATCTAGATTTTAAACCTTGAGGGTATATTTAAGTGCAAGCTTTATAACTTTAGGGTACATAGGTGCTACCAAAAATAAGTGAGGAAATGTAAGTGTAAGTTTAAATTTTTTTTTAGGAAATTGTCTTGCTACTAAATTTAAAGTGGGGGTATGTATATAAGTGACAAATAGATGAAACAATAAGGTATATAAATGCTATTTAGCCGGAATAAAATTTACTTAGAGCCTGTTTGGATTTGTAGGGGGTGAAGGGAAGTTAAGGGAAACTAGGTGAGAGAATGGAAGGGAAGGGAAGGGAAGGGAGTTCCCTTCCCCTTGGTTACACCCCAATTTGGGGGGTAACGGGGGGGGGAGGGGGAGGGGTTATTCATTGGGGTAAATTGTTCCAATGGGGTAATTTTACCCAATAGGATAATTTGAGTGGGATAAAGTGGGGGGTAAAATGGTGTAATGGGACAATTTGAGTAATGGGGTAATGGGACAATTAACAATTAACATTATTTGATTTGGCCCCATATCAAGCATAAGCAAGCTGAAATCAGGATAAATCACCAAAAGGGGCAAAACATCGCAATCAAAAACACCACATAACCAAGAATCAAGAACCGAAAACTTCAATCTTGAACTCCTCTCCCCCCTGCTTCCCGGCTCGATCCAAAACCCCTACCGCGATCTTCCTCCCGTCGCCCAAAACCCCCACCGCAACCCACCGCAACCTCCACCGCTGTTTTAACGGAAAATATCAAAATAAATCCAGCTCTCTTACGAATTAAACAAAATATTTCAAAAGATTGAGAGGAATTGAGAATCTCACAGTGTCGCTTGATCCTTACGAGCTCAGCGCCGTTGCCAAGGGCGGGGGAGGAGACTCAGGCGGGGCTCGGCGGACGACGTGGAAGAAGAGGGCAAATATTACCCCCATTTGTTCCAGCTCTCTTTTTTGGGTAAATTTTAAGGGTGGGGATGTGAAGTGTTTATATAGTTAGGGTAATTTTAGGGGAAGTGGGGTATTTGTCCCCAAATTATCCCAACAAACCAATAACACTATAAAGTTTACCTCAGTTCCAATTACACCAATGAATAACACCAAAAAGTGGTGTTCCAAAAATTATCCCATTATCCCAATTTTTACACCAATGAATAACCCCCCCTTAGGGGGTGAATCAAGAGGAACTAGGGTGAATAACTTCACCTCCTAAATGTTTTCAAACAAAATAAATGGAGATGAATGGTTCCCCTAACTTCCCTTCACCCTTATTCCCCAAAATCCAAACAAGCCCTTAAGAAAGTGTTCTTAATAAGCTAACGGATAAGCCGCCCAACGTCGTCATCCTCCTCTTCCAGCCTTTCCATTCTGTTCTCCTCTCGCTCGTTCTGCTCCTGGGATAAGGCTCTCTCTGTCTCTCTCACGCCCCAATGCCTCGTCCTTCTTTTTGAACCAAAACCCTAAAATCTCTCTCTCTCTCTCTCTCTGCAGACAATGTAGAAGCCGAAGAGCCCGAGACCGAAGCGGCTGGAGATGCGGCCGAGGAGGAAGGAGGAGCAGCTAAACCCCCAAGGCCTCCTATCGTCAAGCTCGGGGACATCATGGGGGTACTGATATTTTTTTTTTTTTTTTTTTTATTTGGGAACACCCCCAAAGTTCCGAACTTATTCTAACGAGTTGGTTGGTTAATTTTGTGCGAGACCGTCCGCATAAAAAAGTGAACGAGAAACATGTTTTCTTACGAAATTTCAGTTTTTTTTTTAAAGTTTGGGGGGATGGGAGGGACAAAGTTAGGGGCTCTGAGGCATCGAATTGTCAATTTAACCTCAATTTGAAAACTTTGGGGGTTTCGAGTTGTCAGAATAGTACTTGGTATCAAAAATTGAAAACGGGTGAAATTGTAGGGTATTTGAAGTGCAAATAAGCCTCTCTATTTTCTTTTGATTTTTCATGTTTTGTATTCTTTTCTCTTGCTGACTTGCTTTCTTTGTGTGCTGCGACGTACTAGATTTTGAATAAAAGGGCTGTTGAGGCCGCAGAGAGTGAGAGGCCAGTTCCGGACCTTAGAACCGGTGACATTGTCGAGATTAAATTGGTGAGAAAAGAGACCTAGAAAGGCACTAGGTTATGTTTGTTTAAAGTTGATTAATTTTGTGTGTTTTATGACATGACTGGATGTAGGAAGTGCCAGAGAATAGGAGAAGAGCCTCTATCTATAAGGGTATAGTTATATCGAAGCAGAATGCAGGAATTCACACCACAATTCGTATTCGGAGAATCATTGCGGGGATTGGTGTTGAGATTGTCTTCCCTGTGTAAGTTTATTGATATTTCCTTTTTTAATTGCCTCATTTAAAGGTTCTTATTTTGATGTCGTTACCGTTCTTTGTAGCTAACTTGTTTGTGAAATTGTTTTTTTGGTCAATTAGAATTGGAGGACATGTTTTTGTGTTAGTTATATCGGTTTTGCGACAACCTTAGAGAAATATTATATAACTTAAGTGATGATAGGTTGATGTAAAGTGGCTTATTTTGAGAAATCCTTAGCTAACATTACATGGAATTATTGTTCAATCCGACACGCAAACTTTAGCTCATGGTTTAACATATCTATGTAATTATAGTTATACAATACTGTATTTTCATTCAAGTGGATTTACTATGTTCAACTTATTACTTATTAGGCACTCATCTAGAAAAGTTCCCGTATAAAAGTAGTATGTTGATACATCTACATGTATTGAGGTTTGTCTGTTGACAGATTGTGCAGTATCACTTAGCATTTTAGACACCTGAATGGCAGTTGCCTATGATCCTAGTAAGAAGTCGTGAATAGGAAATGTGGTGCTGATGGAAAGCTTTTGTTTTTATGCAATATTTAGTTGTGTAGTGCATATCATTGCAATTTTTAGATGGAGAGTACTAAGGGTTTATTAGAGGAACCGAGGGAGAAGATATTAAGCTGTTTTTTCAACATGGTTATGATTACACGTGCTACTAAATATTGTGATGTTAATTGATACTTTTTTCATGAAGACAAATAGGGAGAGGATAGGGCATTTAGAGTTGGAGAATAGATGTTATTTCTGAATTATGGTGGTCCTTTAGGTGCTTATAGTCCATGAGATGCTAAGTGTGAGATAAAGGGAGTTATTGTTGCCCCAATCAGCCAAATCAAAAGCACACACAAGAACAATAGTAGACCACAAGTGAACACAAGCCAACCAATCACAGCAAGTACACAAGATATACGTGGTTCGGCAATGTGCCTACGGCCACGGGGTAAGGAGGGGGAAGCTTTACTAATGAAATCAAAGGGGAATACAAATTAGGGTTGCAAATCTTACCCAAAACCCTCTTACAAGACCACTTGATTTCTCCAATAGACTCCAACAATAGAAGCCCTCAAAATCCCTTTTCAGCAGCTCAAAATCACCCAAGCTTAACCCTAGAATCGAGTTTAGGGTTTAAATACAACTCACAAACGAAACGGGTCTGGAAACAGGACCCATCCGAAACCCGCAGCGGCGGTCGACCGGACCGGTCGACCGCCCACCATCCAGCAAGAGACCCAAACTCCAGAGAGTTCGGCGGTCGACCGACCACCGAGCAGAAACTTCTGCGGTCGACCGGACCGGTCGACCGCCACCAATGCTGAAGCCCAGTGAACAATGTGCACGAATGCGGTCGACCGGGCCGGTCGACCGCCACCCAGTTTGCCTGAATCTTCACCTGTCAACCTCTGCTGCTAGTTCCACAAATCTCCACCTCGGCGAGCGTTTGCCAAAACTGAGCCGACACCAAAGCACCCCCAATCAACTTAACCGGTTGCATCTGCAAGACTGCCTACATATCCTCTTGCCCAAGGAATCAAGCCGAACGTAGTTCATCCAAATGGCCACCAACGGCCTCAACAATGAAGAATATTCAACATTTCAAACAGTGATCAAACTTCACACCTGATACAACTTTGGTCAACATATCAGCAGGGTTATCCTTGGTGTGGACCTTCACCAACATGACATCACCATCATCTAATACGTCACGTACAAAGTAAAATCTGACATCAATGTGCTTCGTGCGTGCATGGTAGACTTGGTTCTTCGCCAAATAGATAGCTGACATACTATCATAATGTACCTGAATGGTTTCCTGTGCAATCCCCAAATCATCCAACAAGCCAGGTAGCCACAAAGCCTCCTTCACTGCTTCAGTCCCCGCCATATATTCCGCCTCTGTAGTAGAAAACGTCACTGTAGACTGAAGAGTACATCTCTAACACATCGGTGCACTAGCCAATGTAAAAACATAACCTGTAGTGGACCGACGCTTGTCAAGATCTCCGGTGTAGTCTGAATCCACGTAGCCGATACAATCCTGCCCTGTCTCATCATTCTTCGCAAATATCAACCCAACATCCACGGTACCCTTAATATACCGTAGAATCCACTTCACGGCCTCCCAATGCCCCTTCCCGGGGTTGTGCATGTACCTAGATACCATGCTCACGGTCTGTGACAAATCTGGCCTAGTACACACCATAGCATACATCAAGCTACCCACTGCGCTGGCGTATGGAACCTTGGACATGTAGTCCCTATCCTCTACTGAAACTGGTGACATCAAAGCTGAAAGCTTAAAGTGGGGAGCTAATGGAGTACTCATTACCTTGGTATTACCCTCAAAACTGAATTTCTTCAGCATCTTCTGCAAGTAACTCCTCTGTGTAAGCTTCAGTTTTCCCTTCACCCTGTCTCGCTCAATCTCCATACCCAATATCTTCTTAGCCTCTCTCAGGTCCTTCATCTCAAATTCAGATGACAGCTCCTTTTTTAATTTCCCAATAGCTGAAGTGTTCCTGGAAGCTATGAGCATATCATCAACATACAATAACAAATAAATGTGCTCACCATCTTGTAGCTTGTGCATATAAACACACGGGTCATAAGGGCTCCTCGTGTACCCTCGGCCAATCATAAAGCTATCAAATCTCTTGTACCACTGTCGCGGTGATTGTTTCAGTCCATAAAGAGATTTTTTTAATTTGCACACCAAATCTTCTTTTCCTGCAGTTTTAAACCCCATAGGTTGTGTCATGTAGATCTCCTCATCTAAGTCTCCATGTAGAAAGGCCGTCTTCACGTCCATTTGGACCAAATCTAAGTCCAGCTGTGCCACCAATGCCAAAAGTATCCGAATCGACGAATGTTTCACAACGGGTGAAAACACCTCATTGTAGTCAACGCCCTCAAGCTGTGCATATCCCTTGGCAACCAATCTGGCCTTGAATCGAATGTCCCCAATAGAAGATTCCTCCTTCTTAGCATACACCCACTTGCAACCAATAGCTTTCTTACCCTTCGGTAGCTTTGCAAGTTCCCAAGTGTCGTTCTTCTGAAGAGATTGCATCTCCTCCTCCATAGCATTCCTTCACCTAATGGAATCAAGGCTGGACTCTGCCTCCCTGAATGTGGCAGGAATAAGATCATCAACGACCTCCACCGATAAAGCATATGCCACCATGACATCATTATATCTAGCTGGCCGACGAATCTCTCTCCTCGGTCTATCTGCTGCAATGTACACCTTCTCTAAATCCCACAAAGATAGCATTCCTCGCTCTCGGATTCAACTTCCCATCACTAACATGGAAATAAGCTGGACACCCAAATATCCGAAGAGTATCATAATCACTAGCCACAAAACCAGACCAGCGCTCCATAGGAGTCTTCCCCTCTATCGCAGTGCACGACAACCTGTTAATGAGATGGCTCGCATAAACTAACGCATCGGCCCAAAAAGATCTAGCCAATCCACTATGCGTCATCATACATCGCACCTTCTCTAGCAAGGTACGGTTCAGTCTCTCTGCCACCCCATTTTGTTGCGGTGTCTCTCTAACTGTGAAGTGTCTTCTAATGCCGTGATCCCGACAAAACTGCAGAAATGGATCACTCTTATACTCTCCACCATTGTCTGAACGAAGAGTCTTCACCTTTCTACCTGTCTGCAGCTCCACTTTCTTCCACTCCATAAATATATCCAGGACCTCGTGTTTATGCTTCATGGTATATACCCAATTCCTCCTGGAATAATCATCAATGAAAGTGATAAAATAATTTGCCCCACCAAACGATGTGTGCTTGGAAGGGTCCCAAACATCTGTGTGAATGTAGTCTAATATACCTTGGGTGTTGTGAATTGTGGTGCCAAACTTCACTTTAGTCTTCTTCCCAAGAATGCAATGCTCACACAGCTCCATCTTGCAGGTCTTTGCATCTTTCAGTAGCCCCTGTTTTGCCAAAGACTGTAGGGACTTTTCACCTGTGTGTCCAAGCCTCATGTGCCATAGTGTGATAGTGTCCTTCTCTGTGGTAATAGAAGCTGCCAGACTCCCTGTAACTGTCTTGCCCTTCAAGTAGTATAGGTTGTTTTCCCTGACACCTCGCATCACCACCATAGAACCCTTCATGACCTTCAAACTAGCATCCTCTAAGATCACTCTATAACCGGATGCCTCCAAAGTCCCAAGAGAAATGAGGTTCTTCGTCAACTGCGGTACGAACTTCACATCTTTCAATTCCCTAGTCACCCCGTCATGCATTCTGATTCTGACTGAGCCAATCCCACTAATAGGACAAACGTGATCGTTCCCCATGAGCACCACGTCTCCTCTCTTTAACTCCTCAAAGTTGGTAAACCAATCCCTCTTAGGACAAATGTGAAATGTAGCTCCCGAATCAAGCATCCACTCCGTAGAATCGACATAACACTGAAATGTCGCCAACAACCTTGGCAACATTCACCTCTGAAGCTTGTACAGCTTTCCCCCTTTGCTTCCCGGCTCTATCCTTCAACTTTGGGCACTCATTCTTCCAATGTCCTTCTTCTTTGCAAAAGGCACATTGATTTCTACCAACACTTTTATGGCTACCCCTATTCTTTGATTTTGGACGGTTGAACTTGGCGGTTTGGACTACGGCCACGAACTGCAAGTGCATCATCTGATGCCTTCTCGGAGGGCTCACAATCATTCTTCCTCAGCTCATAATTCACTAATGCCGAGGTCACCTCCTTGTAGCTAACTGTAGTTCGCCCATTAATCATAGTGAGAACAAAAGTACTAAATTCATCATCCGGCAACGAACACAATAGTAACATCGCCTTGTCTTCATCCTCCACCATGATATCAACATTGGCCATGTCCGAAATTAGCTTTGTGAAGTTGTTAACATGCTCTCGAATGGAAATTCCTCTCTTCATCTTGAATTGGTAGAACATTTTCTTCAAATGAAGCCTATTCTCAATGCTCTTT